ACCACTCCTATTCTACATAGTATTGGAAGTTCTGGCCAGAGCAATCAGGCAAGAAAAAGAAACAAAGGGTATTCATTTAGGAAAAGAGGAAGTCAAATTGTCGCTCTTTGCAGTCCACATGATTATATATTTAGAAGAGCCCATCGTTTCAGCCCCAAATCTCCTTATGCTGACAAACAACTTCAGCAAAGTCTCAGGATACAAAATCAATGTGCAAAAATGACAGCTATTCCTGTACACCAGTAACAGACAAACAGTCAAATCATGAGGGAACTCCCATTATTCTCTTTGTAGCATTCACAGTTGCTGCAGAGAATAAAATACCTAGAAATACACGGGTTGTTTAGGACCTCTTCAAGGAGAACTACAAACCACTGCTCAAGGAAATAAGAAAGGACCCAAACATGGAAAAACATTCCTTGCTCATGGTTAGGAAGAATCAATATTGTGAAAATGTCCATGGTGCCCAAAGTAATTTATAGATTTAATGCTATCCCCATCAGGCTACCATTGACTTTCTTCACAGAATTGGAAAAAAACACCCTAAATTTCATATGGAACCAAAACAGAGCCCACATAACCAAGAGAGTCCTAAGAAAAACACAAAGCTAGAGGCATCACACAACCTGACTTCAAACTATACTACAAGCCTACAGTAATCAAAACAGCATGGTACTGGTACCAAAACAAAGATATAGACCAGGGAACAGAACAGAGGCCTCAGAAATAATGTCACACATCACAACCATCTGATCTTTGCAAAAGTGACAACAAGCAATGGGGAAAGGATTTCCTATTTAATAAATGGTATTGGGAAAAGTGGCTAGCCATATGCAGAAAGCCAAAACTGGATCCCTACCTTACACCTTATACAAAAATTAACTCCAGCTGGATTAAAGATTTAAACATAAGACCTATCACCATAACAACTCTAGAAAAAACCTAGGCAATACCATTCAGGACATAGACATGGGCAAGGACTTCATGACTAAAACACCAAAAGCAATAGCAACAAAAGGCAAAATATATAAATGGGATCTAAGTAAACTAAAGAGCGTCTGCACAGCCAAATAAACTATCATTAGAGTGAACTGGCAACCAACAGAATGGGAAAAATTTTTGCAATCTTCCTATCTGACAAAGGGCTAATATCCAGAATCTGTTAGGAACTTAAACAAATTTACCAGAAAAAACATCCCTATGAAAAAGTGGGCAAAGTATATGAACAGACACTTTTGAAAATAAGGCATTTATGCAGCCAACAAATCTATGAAAAAGAGCTCATCATCACTGATCATTAAAGAAATGCAAATCAAAACAACATTGAGATACCGTGTCATGCCAGACAGAATGGCGATCATTGAAAAATCAAGAGACAACAGATGCTGGAGAAGATGTGGAGAAATAGGGATGCTTTTACACTGTTGGTGAGAGTGTAAATTAGTTCAACCATTGTGGAAGACAGTGTGGCGACTCCTCAAGGATCTAGAACGAGAAATACCATTTGACCCAGCAATCCCATTACTGGGTATATACCCAAAACATTATAAATCATTCTGTTATAAAGACACATGCACACGTGTGTTTACTGCAGTACTGTTCACAATAGCAAAGACTTGGAACCAACCCAAATGCCCGTCAATGATAGACTGGATAAAAAACACGTGGCACATACACACTATGGAATACTATGCAGCCATAAAAAAAGATGAGTTTATGTCCTTTGCAGGGACATGGATGAAGCTGGAAACCATCATTCTCACCAAACTCACAGAAGAACAGAAAACCAAACACCACATGTTCTCACTCATAAGTGGGTGTTCAACAATGAGAACACATGGACATAAGGAGGGGAACATCACACACTGAGGCTAGTCGAGGTGGGGGTGGCTAGGTGAGGGATAGCATTAGGAGAAATACCTAGTATAGATGATTGCGTGATAGATGCAGCAAACCACCATGGCATGTGTATATACCTATGTAACAGAGCTACACGTTCTACACATGCATCCTAGAACTTAAAGCATAATAATAATAAAAGTGTTTCCAGAATCAATTCAGATGTCTGTGGACATCCATTCCTGAGTGTCTCCCAGCTGGCAGGGAGGGCTGCAATCCCAGAATTCTTTTCAATATTGTTAGTCTCTTTGATTTTTATTCATCACAAAGGTCATATTTGCCTTCCCAGTGATCTAATTTTCGTCCAGTGGTGCCACATTAAATGAGAATAGGCATCAAAAACAGGAGATGGTTCTACCCAAAAGTGTGTGTTTGACCTAAATATTTTCTAATGTCTTAATTTACACCTCTTCTACCATTTTTGATTGCTTGGTATTTCAAATTAGCAACCAAAACTTTTCTCCTGTTGCTGCAGATAACCAAGAAATGGATTATATCAAGTTGCTTAACGTGGTCCGCCTCTTCATAAACAGGTAGATTGCTGAAAGGTTATCTCGCCAGTATCTGATAATCTCTGGATCCTGAGCTGTTGGAGAAGGCTCAAAAATGCAATAAAGTAGATGCTGGAAGCAAGGCCAGATCTTGTTCTGCCATTAAATTTTTAAACTTGTCACTCTGTAAAGTCCCATATTGCTTTTGTCACCCAAAGACCACATAATTTGAAAGCCTATCAACCTCTATTTACAAAGAGAAGTTGTGTTTCCTTGTTCTTTATTAATTGGAGACATACTGTCAATCAGAGGTTTTGAGCTACCTTGACAGAGGTAATGTTACCTAACTTAAACAGAATTCCATTAGAAACATAAAACTTAGGCAGTAGAGCCTTATTAATGAATCCTACTCAAAATATTCATAGATCTGTGTTGGTACCTTGAGGGAATCCTGGTTGTGAACCTCTACGTGAAATGCTCAGGTTCACAATCTTGCAAAACCTTTTTGAGTTGCAGGAATATCTGTTGCCTCACAAGTGAAATAAGTCCATTTTCTTGAGCACTGAGGTGTTCCCCAGCCTGGCTTTTCTGCCTAGAAAATGCCATTTTTGTAAAGAGCTGTCATGCTTCATGTCCTTTGGCTTATGATTTTGCTGTTCAGGGAAAGTGCAGGCTGCTCTCACTCGCTCAGTGCTGGTGATATGTGTTTTTGTTTTATTAAATCTTTAAAATACTGGGCTTGTTTTTTATGACCTCCATATATTCTTTTGTTCTTTTCTGTGACTTGTTAGATCAGTTTTTTTCTTCCTTTGTGAAAATATTAGTGCCTTTCCAAGGAACATCGTGGTCTCCAGAATGGCTGTATAATAAAATGGAAGAATGCATTGAGCTTAATGTTCCACCTGTCAAGGCTTTGACTCACGGGTGCTTCACTGATGGGGAGGTTTGAGGCTTCTCAGACCTGGTCCACAGAATCGCAAATCTTTGTTCTTGCCAGACTTGTTTTGACAAATCTGAGATCATTTGGCACTAGTCATAGAGCTCTTTGTAAAATAAAGGTACCAATGGTTTATGTTCCAATTACAGGCAAGTGTTTGTGATTAAAAGTCACTAAGAAACTCTCAGTGAAGTGGAAGCAAGTTCTTCTGGTGTTAGCTTCATCTTGTATGCATTTGAGCCTGGGGACCCACACACCTGTGCATAGGTAGCCTCGTTCTACTGAACTCAAGGGAAACTCTGCTTTGGGGATGCTGAGGAAGAAGAGAACATCTGCAGCTGATAAATCTCAGTGGGCCTGCTGCTCCAAGATTTCTAATTATACCCAGTTCCTACTGCTTCTAGAACAAGGTCATATAATGAGTGAGTTGCCATCTCATGATTCTGTACCTGAACAGAGGTGACTCAAAAAGTCTTAATTAATCTTGATACAACTTCGCTACTGCACTAATGTGAATCCCAAATAAACCGTGACATCCAATTGAACTTGTTCCTGTGCATACCGTGTCTCGCAGCCCATCCTGTACTGTTAGTTTTGGCAAGTACACTACAACATATAATAAATCATGGAAGGAGAAAGCTTTTTGGCCTAGCATGGTTCAGCCTGCTGTAATGTTAGAATACAGAAAGCAGTTCTGTTTTTAGACATCCTTTTACTAACCCAACATTCATAATTTATTATTTCACTGTAAAATTCCTGCAACACGACACCAAAAGTAGTGCTGCCCTTTAATTAAGTGCTCTCGGTAGGAAAAACGTGAAACTGACGTGCAAAACATCTCTCTGTGCACAGTGATTGATAGTGATTACATCTTTATGAACCTAGCCCAAAGGTCTCCACTTCCTGATGGGTGAAGAAGTCTATAGGGCCACTTCCTGAGTCTGCCCGGCGGGGATCCAAAATTGGAGTTAATTCAGAGGCACTACTTAGAAATGCTGAGGTTTTATTAAGCCTGTAGCTGTCTCTACTTTGTCGCAAGCCTACATGACCTTGTTCCTCATTTCCATAAGCACCTATGACCAAACTTTATGCAGTGTCCATCCACACTTAGGAAAGATGTACTGCAGAGAGTGAAGGGACCTCGTGTGTCGTATGGATGACAGTAGGTACTTCCAGCCCATTGGATGCATGAGTAGAACATTAGAGCCAGAAGAGGACCTTAAGTTGTTGCATTTTTAATTATGTTTTCAGACATTATTTTTAGGCAAGTTTAATTCTTTAAATAGTACCACTAAATGTTCAACTAAAATCCCAAGGCAGGTGTTCCCCAGCTCATCCCTGTGTGCACTGTGAGTTTGTCCTCCATCAGCTAGGTGGTCACATCAGCACAAGCTCATAACACCTTACTGAACGGTAAGAGTCAGATTTCCTGTATCTGAAACATTTCAGGTGTCTGGAGAGAGAGGTAACACATCCATCCAAGAAGGTAGTATGTGTGTTATGTGAACTCTTTGGTACAAGTTCAGCTATTTTCAGTCGTAACAGTAGCAACCAAAACAAAAATTCTGTGCAGTTCTGTCATTTAATCATCTTATCAGTGCCTCCAAGGTGACTTGTCTCAAGAGCTGTGTTGATATAATGTGTGTGTGTGTTATTTTCTGCTGTTTTCACAGATTTGGGCCAGGCTTGGTCATCTATTGGTACGGATTTATACAGGAGCTAGACTGCAACCGGGAAAGGGGCATCCTGCTCAAAGCCTGTTTCCCTACGAACATTGTCACCTTATGCCACAGCGTGGCTTGACCCTGAAGATCCTGGAAGAGAAGCTGGGAGGAAAAGGTGAATCCGGAAGCAATTTTACTTTCCTGCACTGCAAGATCCTGGCAACATCTGCCCTGAACTTCAGCTGAACTCTTGCTGCCCGTAGTCACACCACTACCTCTTTAGACAAACATATCAAGAGTTTCTGTTTTCCTTCATCCCTTGCTGATGTGAACAGCCAAGAACTACAGACACAACCCACTCATTATCAGCATTTCTGTCTGTGTCACACAGTTAGTTTACAGATAGTCATAATCTTTCTTTCTTCCGGATGGTTTCTCCTTGCATGCCAAACAAAAGAAAAACCATGAAGCCTGAAAGGTGTGATCTTTCAGTTCTCCTCCCAGTTACCGAATCCCTCTCTTGTTTTGTTTCCCTAAGCCTGCATTCAGTCGCCTCACTCTTCACATGCACTCACAGAGACCCAGTGTTGCATCACCATCGTGGAATAATCTAGCGCAAACCTAGGAACGCTGAAGCCACGAAGTCTGAAGCCGCTTTTGCACTCACCTGCAGAGCTCCAGAAGACCTTGATGGCAGCCCGTGCTGTGTTTGCCATATTCCGTCTTTACGGCTTCCTGAGTTCGTTGACAGTAAGCCAAGCTGCAAAAATACACTGGATGAGAATTTCCTCTTTTTATAATGTTATTTGAACAGCAAATATTTTAGATTTATCTTATGTGAAAGTATTAGTTACACTGAGCCTGGAAACCATACTCGTTTAGACTAGGGGCTGAGAGGAGATGGCTGAAGCTAAGTGCCAGCATTGAGGAGGATTTATTTTTAAACATGGCTAGTTGTCATTATGTATGTGAGCTAATACTTTTATGAGTAGAGTTTTTTTAAGGCACACTCTGTACACTGCTTTGTATATGCATTTTATACCATGTAATTATATAACACTGAAGTTCTGCATTAGAAACGTTTAGCTTTGTATGAACTAAGTGTGCCAGAAATAAGCCTGGAGCATTTTTAAATAAGCAAAATAAAGGAGATTTCGTATTTGTTCACTCTAATTTATTCACTTTTATGTACGGCAAATCAGATTCTAAAGTGAAACATCAATAAGTTAATAATCAACCTATTTTGTGGGAAGTTGAATATTAATCTGTACCCAAAATGTATTTGGTAAAATATTTGCCCTCCCCATGCTGACAAAACATAACTTTTATAATAAATGATTTGAATAAATGATTTGGGAAATATTAATAACAACAATATAACTTTTGCAAACAGCTTTAACTCATATACATTGCTTGATTTTTTTTTTTCAAAAGACTAAATATATCATTTATACTTTGTTCATTTTGTACCAAAGAAGGTTTGAAAAAATATGCCTGCTGCTTTTCCTTCTGAAGGACTTAAGCCTGGTCCAAACGTGTGGATTTGAACTCTGAGTGGGTGCATTAAATCAAAAGCGAGAGGAAGAAGAAGATGAAATGCTAAAAAACTATCAGGCAAACTTCTGTTTCAGTATAAAATTCATTGTGCAGGCTTCTGAGTGACATACAATGATCTGAAACCACCAGTGTATCGCCTTGATACACACACACCCACACCCACACCCAGACCCAGACCCACACACACACGCTCGCGCGCGCGCTTTAAACAAAAATGTTAAAAACAGGTTTCCTAGCATGTTCTAAACTGCTTTTTCTTTATGAATAAATTACATTTATCTGCACAGATGTTGAAAATCCTGTTAAACCCTTGTCAAGGATTTGTTTCTTTTACATTAAACAAATTTATGATGAATGTGAACAAATAAATTAAAAAATAAAAAAGGTACTTGCTTTGATATTTATTCTTCTACCTGTTGCCCTGACATAATGTGTCGTGAGAAGGTACTGGTGTTCCCAGCAAAAGTACTACCTCCTTTTAATGCATGAGGCTCTAAAATCTGACCCTTAAAAATGAGAAAGAACCCAACAGTCAACTCTACACACTATAATAAGGTTAGGAATTAGTCAAAAGAAATTTTTCACACACAAAAACTAATGTGATAATTATACTACTTTTGAAGTGGAGGGGTGTGGGAAAGAAGGGAGTAATGTTCCCCAATTGGAAGCTTAAAGTCTCCTTGAGTTGTTTCTTTTTCTGTTAAAAATGCTGGTCTGTGTTCCATCTCTATATGTTGTCTGCTTGTTTGGTTTCTTTAGTTTAGACAATATAAACATCAGCCCCAGAAAGTAGACATGGCATGACAACTTATTTTTATGGCTGTCGTCATTAGAACGTTAATATTGAATCCAAATCTTGTTTTATGGTGCATTCTGCACACCATGCTAATGAATAATGCAAAGCCAGAAAGCCGGAGCTTGTGTAAAACGTAACACTGAATGATGTTCTCCCCAGCATATACAGACTCGCCAAGCATCTGCCCTGACGAACACATAGCAGACAATTTGAAGTCTGGAAAGGGATCAACTCAAAAGAAAGCTGACCCAGTATTGATATTTAAGGCAGCCACATTCACTCCTTCCCCCCTCGCATCTGTACCCCCTCAAAAAAAAAAAAAAAAAAAAAAAAAAAAAAACAGTTGTATATCCTTTTTCTTTGGCCTTCTAGTGAAGCATATGTTCACTCTTTACAACACCTAAAATCTTATATAAAAGGTAAGTCTCAGGGGTCTAAGGTAGTAAGCTGGACCTCCAGGGGAAATAATTTTCTTGTAACTGTAGGTGTGCATACCTGTTCGTTATTTGCAGGCTTGATTCCCTCTGGAAAAGATGACAAATAGTTGGTCTTAAAGGGATGCATGAACTCACTCAGGCCTCCAGGGGACTGATTAGGGCCCTGATGAGGTAATCTACCTAAATGGTCCCTGGCGAGCCACACTAATTAATGCTGAAGTGAACAGTTAATTCACTTGCTTCTCACTGGGGAGCTACACCCATTGTTTTCTTTTCTCTTTGGAACCAAGATGCCTTAGATGAGTCCTCTTTTCAACTGTTCTTATCTAGAGACCTGGTGTCTCAATTGCATTAAATCTTGACTGCTTCCATATGCCTCCTCCTTTCACTTTTCACTTCTGCCACTTTTCACCTTCCCCTTCATTAGCCTTTGCCAGTTTCCCTCCACGTAGACATGGACCCTGCATTTTTCTCATGACTCTCCGGCTCTTTTTCTAAAAGATGATCCCAGGACCAAAATGTATCCCATCTAAGTCCTGATGCATACGTCTGGCTGGGGAGTGGGGAGCAATTGGCCTAATCTCTTTGGGAAGAAGCACAGCTTAAGCATCCTCCACACGCCTAAATACTCAAGGGCACATGTGGCACCAGAAGGATCATAAAACTTTTAACTAAGATAAGATTCTACAGGGTTAAATATGGCTTGAAGTTCGTGCCTTCAGTAAACGTTTTGGCAAAAGGAGAAAAAAAAAAAAAGTAAGGTTTTATAGTTACTTACAGCCTGAGTGGTAGTGTTCAGCTGATTAAAATAGCAAAATGTCTGTCTGATTTAGCGAATCTCTCCTAGCTCATTCATCTTGGGGTAGCTTGCCATTTTCATGTGATCTGATGGGAGCAAGTTGTCTCAAAGCATAACTATTTTGTGACAAGATGAGAGGAGAAAATCTCAGTAGACACATTCTTGATTAGGGTTAAGGAACAAAGCAGGCTTAACTTGAGAGGAAACTCAAAGGCAAACAATAGAAGTCTGCCTGCAATGTCACCATATATGGGAAGCGCCAATCTGAACCTGTCTCTGTAAAGTCAGTCGTGGGTTATGGAAGGGTCATGTGTTTGGATCATTTAATCTTGTTACTCTAAACTAACCTTCCTACATTTAGTAAACATGATCTGAACCTGTTTTATTAAGAACATGCCTGGATTTCAAAGATTAAATAAGGAAGATGGAATTATGAATTAAATAATAACCTGAACAACTTGGGTTCGCCTTGTGTTTTTCACTTTCCTGCTATTGTTTTGAATATGGCTGTAAGACAAAGAGCTGCTTAGGTCAAGCGCTATAAATTACAGTTTTCATACAATAGTAATCCACTAAAATGATTTCAAAGCCTGATCAAAGTACTTCAAAAAGACTTTTAAAACGTTTCCACAGTACAGAGGAAGGGAAATGCTCATTTGGTGCCTTAATTTGTTTCACTTAGTATAGCAAAGTTTGATCTGGTGTCATGCTCACTTTATATAAAATCCAACTCATTGTTTAAATAATTGCAACTTGTTCTTGTTGTTTAATGTGGAGGTAAAGGAGATTTAAGTTTTCATCTACTTAAGAAGAACAGCTGAATATTTGGAGTCACTTGTAAGAAAAGATAGTAGAGGAACATTTTAAAATAAGCATACCTGGATAGTATTTAATTGTGATACTCAAGGTATTCATTACAACTGTCCAACTCCCTGCAATTAGGATATAGTGGATCTCAGTGGATTTATTTGGCATCTTAATGATAATCATGCCAACAGACAAATTTATTTTTTCATCCCTTTTCTCTCATCACTTGGATTTATCCTAAGCTGTCTCATTTTATAGGCAAGGATAATGGGAAGTACACTAGTGATAGCAAAGCTAAGCAAATTCTAGGCTCAACCATATATACAGATAGTGTGGACTGCTGCAACAATGTCAGTCTCAACTAAAGACTCATGGTACGATGTCAGGGTAATTTTTACTTTTTAAAACAAAGGTCATATTGAAATGCTGACATGAAATAAAACCAAGTCAATTAAGTAATAACAATTGAAGTTCAGAGTTTAATTGAGGGCTGAACATGAATCCAATGACCATTAACCTAAAGTGGTCATTAATTCCCCTGGAAACTGCCTTGGTTAAAGGTATTTCTACAATAACTATCACTTTTTTTTCTGGAAAAAAAAAAAAAAGCCTTGTCATTTTAACATTAAACCTATTCAGAAATAACATTCGGGAATAACAATTTAGTGGGTCTATGGTTGGCCTTCTGTATTTTACATTTTAATTAAATTTATTTTATAGAGCAAATCAAAATTTAGATAAAACCACCTCTTTGCAGGAAACCACTTTTGTTAAGTAAACAAAGTTATAAGCACCCTTTGATTGCTTTTGTTTCAATTGTTGACTTATTTCTGTACTTGCTTAATGCAAGATTTCGGACTAGACTGTAAGCTCCATGAAAGTGGAAACTACATTTACGTTGTTCACTTTAGTCCCTAATGCCTACCAGAGTTCCTAGTGCAGATCAGGTATTCACTAAATGTTAAATGAGTAAATGAATGACAGAGCTTTATTAAATATGTTATCACTCACTTGTATTAGAAAATAATTGGAACATTTTTCTCATTTTCTTCATCTGAAAAAATATTTACTAAAAATAGAGAAAATCAGGTGTTGATATTAAATAATTACTTTAGAAACTCCCCAAAATGTGAAATAAAGCAAATTCATCAACAGGAGAGTTTTAGGGATGCACACTTAGTGTCAAGGGGAGATTCATGTAAATTTTTTGTTGCATTTGCCTTGAAGTTAGTCTTAATACATTATTGTTTATGCACTATGTTGCTAAATGAGAATATTAAAAATATTTATTTCTCCTTAAAAAGAAATGGCTTATCTTTATATTTCCATTAGAAACTTTCTTTCCAAATCATGGCAGGCTCCCAAATCAAATGTGTTTCACACACAGATTTTGGAATATTCAGTGGAATTATTAGATTAACTGCAAATGATACTGTTAATTGCTCCCTTTTATAATGCTGAGTTGATGGCAAAGTGCTTCCTGGCCATAGAAGTGGTTGGCTCGCTCAAGACAGAAGGGTTATTTGGTCATTTGCCAATAGGATCTGACCTTTGGAGAGATACTGTCCATGAACCACTCAGTGGGTGTTTCCTTGTTAGTCATTAATTCAGAGTATATTATTTGAAAGCCAAAGGCATCTGGCATATTTCCTCATAATTTGCAAACTTGTATCACCAAAGAAGCTGAAACTTCCACATTTCTTCTTATTCTGCCAGTTTCCCAGGACTTAATTTGTTGGCGCTCTGTGTGATTCCTTCCATGAGCTTCTGGAGAGAGCAGACCCCCCAGTACACATATCACTAAGACCAGGTCTTTGGTTCCAGGTGATAATTCTGTCATATTTCTAGCACTGAAACTATTTAAGACACACATATTTATGGAGTCCCTAATGTGTATTAGAAGTATGTGAGGTGCTGTGAGGAATTGTTTTTTAATGCAACCAAAGATCCTCTTCTTGAAGAAAAATAAATCGTTACTTGCCAAAATGAAAACACCACAAAATATTTGGAAATTTTAGAAAAAGAAATCACATTAACAGGGAAATCTATGAGGTTTTTAATAAGATATTTTAACCCTAGACAATGGGCAGCAAGTAGCTTTCTCTTTGCTTATTATGGTGGCTGTATTCACTGCTAATAAGCATTTCCAAGGCCAAGTTCAGCTCTGCAGCTAAGCCTTTGATCTAGTTTTTAGAGTAGGTAGTGATCACATGGATGTCACATATTTTCCATTCCTGCTCTGGGCCATTCGTGTTCAGTGCAAGTATAAATAAATTTAAGCAGTTGAAACAGAATTCATACCTATTCATCGGCCTATGTAATAAAACAAGAAATAACTTGTTCTGATGGTTCTGTAACATCAAGCAAGATATCTGTCCATTGCTAAGGTCTGTCTAGCAATACAAATAGCTAAATATGTCATTGAAATCACAGAAATACGATTTTAAGCCTCAAGATAAACACCAGATGGACACAGATTATTACTTTCAGTAAATATCTACAAGTTAAAAGATATTATTGATGAAAACCTTTAGGCCTGTATGTTTT